GATCATTGCAATTTCATCGGTCGCCTCAAATTTTAAGATGGAAAATTGGGAGAATATCGAGTTAGAAATGAACTATTACAAACAGTTTCTTATTAAAAAAAATATTTTGCCTTGAACTTGAACTCTGCAACTTAAAAACTGAAAAACTAAATTTTTACGTTATTCCCCCTTCTTTTCCAGGGATCTGTATCAGGATCAGTGCAAGCTACCGATAGACTGATGAAAGAACTAAGAGACATTTATCGCTCGGACTCCTTCAAAAACAAAATGTATCAAATCGAACTAGTGAGCGATTCCCTCTACGAATGGAACGTGCGACTCATGACCGTCGACCCGGACAGCCCCCTCAGCCACGATCTGGCCATGCTTAAAGAGAAGGAGGGAAAAGATTCCATATTACTCAACGTTTTGTTCAAGGACACTTATCCCTTTGAACCCCCCTTTGTACGGGTGGTACATCCCATCATTTCAGGTTAGTACATTGCGTGGTCCATATTTTGAAATTTGTTTGTAATTTTGCTATTAAAAGTTATTTTTTTCAAGATACCATTTGAATTTTAAATTATTTTGTAAATATTAAAATATTTTCAGTTTGACTTTGCCAAAAACAAATTTATAAACATTAAAACCCAGTTTTGAAAGTTTATAAATACATTTACAAAAAAACAATTTGTAATGTAAAAAACACAAATTATTTACGCCACAAACACATGCAAACATTTTTAAGATTTTTTTTTCAACTGTCTTATTTTATCTATTTGCCAATTTGCGATTTAGGGATTTATTCTGCAGTACCCATGCACAGTTCGCCTAGAACAAAGTTTCAACAAAAAAAATATATAAAAGATGAACCGCATATTTTTCAGAAGTCCATATTTCTACCTTGTAAAAAAATATATTTTCAAAATCGGCCACGTAGCTATTTGTTTTTTACAGGATGTTGTATATTTTGGTATATTTACTCCTATGAAATGTACTATAATTTTGTTTTAATTAACAAAATATCCAAAATCATTAAATTGTTGCGATTAATATTTAATAAAAAATGTGAAATTTTTTACTTTTTGATATGAAACAACAATTTTTCATAGTTTAAGTCTTTATTTAAACGAGAACAACTGAGATAATTACTCAATTATTGTATTTTAAATATGTCTACTGTTATAGGCACTGACGCTTCTAATTAACAGAATTTGGGTTTAGATTAAAGTTTTTAGAAAAGGTTTTGTAGGAGTAATGTACCTGTTCTGAAGCCTGTTCTGAGTAGAACCCCAGGGCTCGACTTGTTATGTCAATGAAATCAGCCACATGGTATACGACGCTGTGTATTTTTGGAGTTATTTTGATATTTGCTTTTTTTATTTCTTCATAAAAGTTGTCAATATATATTTTGTAGTTGGCATCCAGATTTTGCCCAAAGCAAGCAGCTACTACTTTGTCAAAAGACTTCAATACTGGTATGTACTTATTTCCTAAAATGCAAAAAATATATTCAAGACCTATTGTTTTTATTTTACCTAGGAGTTTTGTTTTTTAATAAAAATAGAAAATTTTATAATTTCCGTCTATACGAGATAAATTCAAAACAAAACAAAAATGCAGGAAATCAGAAACGAGTAATATTATTGTATTCACCTGGGGCCAAATTTTCTAAGTTACCCTAATTTTATCCGTGGTGTATTCAACCACTGCAGTTACTTTTTTTTGCATTAATTTAAAATAGCAACTGCGACAAATAACCGCAGGCAAACAATCATCATTTATGTTATATTCAGGTATTAAATCCAATATTAAACTAAGTACTTTACCCTTTATTTTCACATTTCGCACAGCTTTATTAAAACACATATAGCACACTGCAAACCGAGAATCTTCATGAGACCGAGGTACTTGTCTATGAGGTGACATATTTTTGTGTACAGTTGAAAATTATTTGACAGTTATCTTTTTGAAAGGTGGCCGAAGCCGCCTAGGTACCTACTTGATTAATTTGTAACGTAGCCGAAACCGCTTACGTATTTGTGCCTTCTGAAATAAACTTAAATGTTTAATTTTTAAAGAAAAAATGTTATATATATACACAAAAACTCTTTAATTATTTTTGAGCCTAATTTTCTTATTAAGAGTGTAATAATAGACAATATTAACCTTCTTACATGAGTATAAATATAGCACAATACAAGATTCGTCATAAAAAAAATAAACATCCTGTAAAAAATAAATAGCTACGTAGCCGATTTTGAAAATATATTTTTTTACAAGGTAGAAATATGGACTATTGAAAAATATGTGGTTCACCTTTTATATATTTTTTTTGTTGAAACTTTGGTCTAGGCGAACTGTGCATGTCAGCTTAGCTTCTTTCACTAGCAACCTTGGACCAAAGGTCTATGCTACCAACAAAGAAAATGTAAAATTCCAAATTGGCTAAATTTGTGGTCTAAATGGTAATGTCAATTCCTGGAATCCCCACTTTTAAAAAAGTTTTGAATCGTTTATCTCATTTACTATTGGTTGGACAAAAAAGTTTTAAGGCAAAACTTACTGCTTTTTGTTTCTAAAAGATAGTCTCTAGTACAGTCTGGCCAATGTAAGTTGGCGGAGCAAAGGAATGTGCATGCAGTTTAGATAATTAATATTAAAAAACATACCTACTTAGTTATGTTTTTTACTATTATTTACATACATAAAATATTTATTATTTTTATTTATAATATAAAAAATACGTTTTAAAAGCACACAACACGACAATTGTTTAATAACTAAATAACTTAATTCATTCGGTCCGCCAACTTTACGTGGACAGACAGTATTTTTAGTTTTAATCAATTTCAAAGGGTCAAAATATAGGAAGGCGTAGAAGGGCCAACAACAATTTTCAAAAAAATTCAAGAAAACCATACTTTTGATAATATTTTTAAGATTGTACATGTAGAAAGTAAAGGCATAAAATTAAATTTATTAGAATCTCTGGAAATAAACAAATTAAAAAGAACTGATATCTAAATGATCAAATTGAGACCAATAATTTACCTTTATTTTCATGTATCCGTTTGTCCGTCATCCGTTTGTCCGTTTTTCAATAAAATCGTCCGATAAGAAATGTTCTAATTTTCATGCATACGTTTTTTAATGACGTTTAACGGATTAATTTGGCGACAAACAGAAATTAAGTGTCAGTATATTCACTTTACTAAATTTACCTAATGCTTAATTGTCATAGTTACAATTATGTCAACAATTGTAACTTTAACAGTTAGCTGTCTAATAAATTAAAAGGTAGGTAAATATACCTTATAAAAAGAATATACTAGCTTTAATGTACATTAAAATGTATAGTTTTAAAAAAGCAGGTCCTTCTAGTTCTAGTTTTAATTTTTTTTCTTAGTCCTTTCTTTTTTTCCGTTATTCTTATTAAATAAAAACATAACAGTAAAACATTATTCACATAACGAACGTAATATTTCCGTTTTACAATCTTATTGAAAAAATATAAAAATATTTGAAAATAAATTATCTTAAAATAACGTTAGGCGTCAAAAACAGATGTGTAGTGACGGATGAGTTAAAATTATTTTAACTTTCTCTGTCAGACGTACGAAGTTGAAACTTGACGGACCGATAAAATGTCATAATTTTCGAATTATAATTGGACCAATAAGAGCGCTCCCGGATAAACGGACTAACGGACAAACGGATACATGAAAATTAAGCTTAAATTTGGGTTTTCCATCATTATTCTCTTTCAATGTATTAAGCAATTTTTGTTCAGGTAGACCCAAAAATTTTGTACCATAAAACACACTTAATTTTAAGTTTAAATACACTCTGAAGAAGTCACTGTGTGACAAAACAAAAATTATTGTCAAAAATTAAATAAATTACTTGAAACTTTCAAAAAACATAGTTGTTTTTATATCTCCATAATAATAATTCATTATTCCCGTTGTTAGGTGAGGCGGTTATATTGGTTACCATTATATACAGAAAAAAATGTCAACAATATGCAATCGAAGTAGAAAGAATAACACTGGCCGACAGCCATTTTGGTGCAGGGTAGACAACAACTTTTTTAGGGTAATTTGAGTATGCCGAATCCAAAAATGACCATCATTTTGCTCAATCAGCTCTTGTTTTTGCGATGTAGACAAAAGCAACAAATAGGGTAAATTTTATTTAAATCGGGCAAAAATTGGTCATGCTGTATCACTTTGAGTTTTTTTTTTAAGAGAATACCATTATCAATGTATATGGTTTTTTTAGTTTAATAAAGACCCATAGCAACATTACCAACTATCCTTGCTTAAATTAGAAGTTTAAAAAAATATATATAAGAATTTGAATGTGCGCACATCGATAAAAATGGTTTTTATTCTACATCGCAAAAACAAGAGCTGATTGAGCAAAATGATGTTTATTTTTGGATTCAGCGTACCTAAATTACCCTTAAAAAGTTGTTGGTTGCCAGGCACCAAACAAAATTTTTATTTTTGTTGGCCTGTGTATTACACAGTGTGTAATTTTAAATGTCGAAATTTTAATTTATACTATACAGGGTGTTTCTTTTAACTTGAGACAGCTCAATATCTCGAGAAATACGCATTTTACGGAAAAATGTCTTAAATAAAAGGTTAATGTGACCAAAGGGGACATTATTTGGTGCTACCGCTAGCCACCCCCTACCCATCCTTAAGGGTGAAACGGGGGGTAACTTTGGAAAATCAAATGGGATGACCCGATTTTTTTCACAGATTTTGGTAGTACATAAAAAAATGAATAACTTTTATTTAAAACTTTTTTTAAATTTATTAACAGATGAGGCTGTAATTAAAAATTTAAGAAAAATGGGTTTCCCTGTTAAATGTATTATTTGATTGACAGTTTCTAGTTACCTTATTTCAAATTTGACAGTTTCTAGTTACTTACCTTATTTCAAATTTGAACACGATTTAAGTTCGCGATTAGCAGAAGCAATTTTCGAATAGAAAATCAAAGAAGCCATGGAGTATTTAGCTGTGCAGGAGAAAATCGAAATAGTTTTAATTTATGGCGAGGCTGCAAGGAATGTGGATGTTGCTGTGGGCCTTTATGCTGAACGTTTTCCCGACGGGCCTCGTTCCCGTGCCACCATTTATCGCGTTGTCAAGCAATTTACAACTGAAGGCAGTATAAAACAAAAAAAAAAAGACTCGTAGAGCTACTGTTACAGGTGAAGAAAACAATCAAAATGCCGTGTTGGCCTCAGTAGCTTACAACCCCCACGTAAGCACCCGTGCAATATCGCGCGACTCAGGGATTGCTCTTACAAGTGTGTGGAGGATCTTGAAACGCCAAAAGTTCCATCCCTATCACATCTCCCTGCATCAGGAGCTCCATGGGGATGATTTCAACAATCGTGTGGCGTTTTGCAATTGGGCACAGGCGCAACTCCAACAAGATCCCGAGTTTTTTTCCCGAGTCCTATTTTCTGAAGAATCCACCTTCACCAACCACTGTGAAGTAAATAGGCATAATATGCATTACTGGAGTGTGGAAAACCCACGCTGGCTTCGTCAAGTGGAGCACCGTCGGTAAACGTTTGGTGCGGTACCTTTGGCGAACGATTAATCGGACCTTTTGGAGAATGTACCACTAGCACGGCTCCAAAACATGTGGTACCAGCATGATGGTTGTCCAGCGCATTATTCGGCAATTGCTCGAGAGGTGTTGGATCGGGAGTTCAATGGCCGGTGGATCGATAGACGTGGTTCAGTAAGTCGGCCTGCTCGATCACCTGATCTTACGACACCAGACTTCTTCCTGTGGGGTTACTTAAAGGAAAAAGTTTACGCTGCAATTCCTACAACTCGGGAGGACATGGTGGAGCGGATCAGGAACGCCTGTGCGGCGATACCGCCCGACATGTTGGCGCGTTGTGTGCCAGAATTCAATACCCGCATTCAAAAATGTGTTGAAATGGAAGGACGGCATTTTGAACATTTGTTATAAATTGTTTTCAGAGCCGACTATTGTTGATTTAATGTTAATTTTTGTTTTTCAAACGTTTCAAATAATACATTTTACAAGGAAACCCATTTTACTTAAATTTTTAATTACAGCGCCATCTGTTGATAAATTGAAAAAAAGTTTCAAATAAAAGTTATTCATTTTTTTATGTACTACTAAAATCTGTGAAAAAATTCGGGTCATTCCAATTGACTTTCCAAAGTTACCCCCCTTTCACCCTTAAGGAGGGGTAGCTGGCGGTAGCACCAAATAATGTCCCCTTTGGTCACATTAACCTTTTATTTAAGACATTTTTCCGTAAAATGCGTATTTCTCGAGATATTGAGCTGTCTCAAGTTAAAAGAAACACCCTGTATTCTATGATTTAATTAAAAATATTATTGCAGTCATGTTGTGTGGGAAGAAAAATAACTTGTAAAACACAGCGGTAAAGTAATTTTTTCTGGATTGAAAAATTTTCACTTTACTGCCTAGGTCTACAATATTATATACTCAGCCATTCCACGCTACTCGGGAATTTTTGTAGCGTCCGTTACAATAAAAAATTGTGAGTAAAACTACCGTAATTATTATGCTTATAAGTTTAAGCCTAATTATATATTACAAGCATAATAAACATGTTTGCAATATTAACTATTGTAAAAGTAATTTAATTACGGTAGCTTTTACTCACAATTTTTTATTGTAACGGACGCTACAAAAATTCCCGAGTAGCGTGGAATGGCTGTACTATAGAACTTTAGAACCATATTAATTTAATAAAGAACAAGCTACATTTTGCTTTTATGCTATTAAAAACATTTTATTTACATATTAATGTTAATTCTTATTTTTAACGTTGCTTTATTCTTTACGTTTCCTTCTTTTAGGGGGTTATGTGTTGGTTGGCGGCGCTATTTGCATGGAACTGTTGACAAAACAGGGTTGGTCGAGCGCTTACACCGTCGAAGCAGTCATTATGCAGATCTCGGCCACTTTGGTGAAAGGCAAAGCTCGCATACAGTTTGGAGCTGTGAAAGTTTGCTCGCAAGGTCAATACAGTCTGGCAAGGGCTCAGCAGAGTTTCAAATCACTTGTTCAAATTCACGAGAAAAATGGTAAGATAATGTAAAATATAAGGTTTTTATAAATTTAAAAAAACATGTTAAAAAACCCAAAAAATGTACCAAGGAATAAAACGTCAAAATAAAAATAAAAAACACTGAAATAATTCTTTACTTCCTATTTTATTCTCTATTTAGTTATTTATTGTTTAATAATGATTGCATAATTAATTTTTTTTTATTTAAATCATTTAATGATTTTCTGTTTTTTAGGTTGGTTTACTCCACCAAAAGAAGATGGGTAAGAGGTGATTGTGCCAATTCTATTTTATTTTTTCACATATGTTATGTTATGTTAATAGTCTAAATTTTCTTGAAACTCTGTATCTTAGTGCCTACACATTATACTTTTAATTTTTCATTATATTTTATTCGTTGAAAGGTGAGATAAATAATAAATACCAAGTCAAAATTTAGGTCTCATGTGTAGATGCAAAATTTGATTGGTTAATGTTTTTTTATTTGAAATCTGAAATTTGAACAAAAGTTAAAAGTACATATTAGTTGTGACAACTGTGATTTTCATTGAAATCTTACATTTTATTTTTCAGTAGATGTAGGTTTGTCAATTTGTTTATCTCTAGCCAGTATTGTTGAACTAAATTTATTTCCTAAAATTTTACACTGATAATTGTGCAATTACTGGTCTTGAGAATTGGAATATTGTTTTTTTCTTTTTTAATTTTTGTATGTATAAATAAAATTAGTTTGTGAATGTGGTGATACACCTAAATTGCACGAAATACAATAAAATTCCAGGCATAGACATAATGGAATATAATTTGACAAATTGTGGAGTATGCATCTCACAACGAAGGAGTTTTATGGTAATTTTTTGTCTCAGTGTTTTTGAATTTTTTTGTATTTTATAGTTAATTATATTAAAAATGCAAACATATGAGAAAAATATACTTATTCTATTTCATATGTGAATATTTGTGATGTTTTCATTTTCTTCCATTTTCATTAATTGTTTAAGTTTCATTTACATTTTGTTAAGGTTCATTTTTACGAAGATCAGCCTTATTGGATGTTTCATACTTATTCCTAGTTTAACGTTAGTGTTATTTTAGTTAATTATCAGCTAATGGATTAATTGTAAATAAACTGTGTATTCCGTTTGCTGTACTTCACTCTCCAAACAGTTTCAGAGTAAGTGCTTTTAGTTTTTAAGATCAATAAAATCTATTATTATACAAATTTGAATTTTATTTTTAAACCTACAATTTTTATTTTTCTCCTTAAAGGTACCTAAGTAAAAAAATAAAAAAAGTCATCATAGTAAGAGAATTTTGTCTGAATGAAAAAAAATACAAAACTAAAAACGATCATTTAATGGATTATCAATTAAATTTTAAATATTGTTTAAAAAAAATTACCCATTATTATTTTTTAATGGTCAATGGTTTTAATTTTTTGCAAAATATAAAAAAAAAGATTGGTGAGTTTTTTACAGTGTTCCTATTTGCCATTAAAAATTATTTACTTTTAAGACACATAAAAGGTGCGTTCCAGAGTAAATAATAATAATCAGAGCAGACCTAGGGTGCCATTGCCATCAAATCCTGTATATTATCATTTAAGTGGTAAAAAACTTGTTGGCCAATCAAAATTCTTAAATATTGAAGAAACCATCAAAACTGTGTGTACCTAAATTCTTCATCGAAATTCATAGAAATCATGAATTTATTTCATATTGACTGAAATGTCTGTTCAGGTTATTTTTGCACAATTGACCAAACTGCTAAGAAATCAGCATTTAAAACATTTTTTTTAACAAAAATCCAGTTTTAAAGAACTGCTTGCGTTATTCCCCCGATTTATCATCGTTGACTTTTATCTATTCGAAAATGTTATATTCTTTGACAAGTTTGGAAATTTCTGGCATCGGTAATCCAACCTTAGTCTCGTGTGTAAGAAGGTGTGTATTCCAAATTGGAATACACACCTTCTTACACACGAGACTAAGGTTGGATTACCGATGCCAGAAATTTTTTTTTTTTAATTTTCGAATCAAAAATACTCAATTTTATGATCAGATTAACTTAATTCATTGTGGCACTACTTTTTTTATCTAAATTCAAAAATTTTACATTAATTTTCGAGACACATTTTACACAAATATGCGAAACAAATTTTGTACAAATAGGCACACCACACGATACAATTTTTAAGAATTCATATTGACGATTTAAAAAAATCTATGCACAGCACTGGATTCACCACCCCTCAAAACGATTTTGTAGCAGTTGCATACTTTACTTTTTCTACTCCCACCTTTAAAACGCCCTTTATCGTACATATTTCCATGACACTAATTAGTCACTTAAGTGACCTAGCTTTTAAATACACATTGACAAGTTGTGGCTTTATGGCGCTTTAGTCACGGGCTAACTTAAGTTAGCAACAGGTTTTTAGTCACGCACTGAAGTTAGTTTTAAGTTAGTTGACAGTTGTCAAATGTCATTCAATCGTTAAAATAAAGTGCCTTTCTTGTAAAATAATACAAAATGTAAAAATTATTTTATTATCTCAATACAAAAATAAAAAAGTATTAAATGGTTTCTCGACGCCAATATTTAAAAAGTTTTATGAACATTGTACTGACCTTTTAATTTCGACGGTAGTAAACTATAACTTAAATTCAGGCACGGACTCCACTGTAAAGGGCTCATAAAACATTTTCTTTACTTTCACTGTGAAAATCTGTCAATTTTCAAGAAATACATTTCGATTTATAACCTTTGTACCTAATCTGTGTTTATAAAATATTAAAATTTGACATTTGACGGTGACACACAGATTCCCCTATTGTTTCATAGATGGCGCTCCATACAAATTTTTGATTTAAATCATTTTAAGATAATAATAAGTATTTGTCGTAGAAAAAGTAGGTATAGTATGCACCTCGTTTATAAACTTTTCTATACACTCATTAATTTAAGCACTCGAGTGCTTAAATTAATGAGTGTATAGAAAAGTTTATAAACGAGGTGCATACTATACCTACTTTTTCTACGACTTTTTCTACGACGATCGCTCGCAAGCTCGCCCGTGCCTAACTTAAATTCGTGTATAAAATGGCGTTTATCAAACTTGATACATAATAGACTAGTATAGCTATTATGTACGACGAACACAAAGAAGAATTTAAAGCCACTTTTATTTGTTAAATATTTGACATGTCAAATGTCAGATGCATGTGTCAAATTTTAACGGATTTAACGTCACTTTTCCCTAATTTATAATAAAGCCAACTTCAGCCCGTGACTAAAACGCCATAAAGTCACAGCTCGTCAATGTAGGAGTAGATAATAGTATATTCTGTAAATATGCAATTCCAAACTTGTTACAGACCATACTTATTCTACTTTTCCAAAAAATACCATAGAAAAATAATTTAAATGAGAGAAAGTGAGGTTGGATCCAAATTTGTTAGATATTAAATAGAGATGTCGCCACCAGTGTTTATTCCGTCATCAGATGATAAAATAATTCATTCAGTAATACTTTCAGGAATATATGTCATTCCACATTAAAAAGTGATATTAAAACGGTCATATTCTGTACTTAATAGGAGTAGAAAAAAATTATTCTGCCAAGTTTTATCTATAAAAAAACATTGAAATCAAATTAAACTCATAGTATCATCACTTCTTTACTCAATGGTATCATGGTATAAATATTCTAATGCTTATATATAACTATAGTTTTGAAAAATAAAAACCGCAATATAAACTTAAAACAACAATGAAACAAAAAATAGAGAATTCCAAAAATTCTCTACAATTACATTTTCGTCACCTCTACTAATCCACCATTTATTTCAATAGGCACTTCGGAGTGCCCATGGGGCCGGGGGGCGAGATCATATACTGCCCTACTATGGAGAAAGGCAGTATAACTGCTAAACAAGAAATTTGTGGGAAATTAGCATAAACTACATTTTTATAAAAAGCAGTATACCTATAGGTATATAATTGATTTATATATACCTATAGGTATATAATTGATTTTTTTAACTTATGAGATATTTTACTGCATTTCTGTGTTGAATTCGGATACAAAATGTCCATAGTTTTACCATAGCACAAGAAATCGCATTATGCATTTTTTTTGCAGTTACTGCCTTTCTCCATAGTAGGGCAATACCCAGAACGCAAAATCACATTCCCTGCACATGTCAGGAATATTGTCAGGAATATTCCAAGTGTCCCAGAAAATTCCCAGGAATATTCCTGGCATAATCAAATGTCCGCTTTTTGGTTAAGCCAGGCATCATAAAAAGAATATTCCATGTATTATTAACCTATCGGTATATATAGTTATCAAGCGCGCGTAAACAACGGTGAGAGGTATTGCAACTAAACTAATGAATATTCACTGGGAATGTTCTTAGATGATGCTTGGAAGTTTTAGAGGATCATTCTAGGAATATTCCCAATGAATATTCCTAGAATGAAGCGGATTATTCCTAGGCGATAGGGAATATTCCTGGAATATTTTCGAACCTTCATTGCAGTCTCGGTTTAGGGGCTCTCAGAAATAAATAAAATTTATAAATAATCTAATATATTATGTTAACCATAGATAACTTGTTTTTAAACGTTTTTTTTTTTTGTAAAAAATGCCATTTTAAGTTTTTTTGGTGTGGTTATTTTTATTTTTCAAGTTCTTGGCATTAACTTAAAGTGACCAGATTCTGTCAAAAAATAGGGGGACATTTTGTGTAAATTAACCATAATTACAAAAATGACACAATCAACCATAATTAAGTAACGTCAAATTTACAATTTGCATGGTATCATTGTGTCAATTTTGTAATTAAGGTAAATTCGTACAAAATGTCCCCCTATTTTTTGACAGAATCTGGTTATCGATGATTCAAGTGCTTAAAAATAAACACTTATTTGGTTGGTGTATTTGGCCAGTTAATACAACCAACCTTTTGAACGAAATCCTTTGTTTACCAGCATAATTTTGATACGCAATACTGACGCGCAATTTGAAAAATCAGGCGCCGCTAGTGTTGTCTAGGGATTTTTTCGTTTAATTCGTAATGTTGGCCGCCTTGAATTCTGGCTTTTTGTGAAGACAAGTGTTGTGAAGTGAAATTTCGCGGAATTAGTTATTTACACATATCTCCAATTTTTCAATTTTACTAAGGAGTAGATGAAGGTGGGTTTAATGTGGAAATAACAAGAAACCGGGACTTATTTAAACAATTATCACTTGCGCCAGCCGATGCCGTATTTGAGGTCTTCTGAAGTTCTGCAAATTTCTACGTCATGCTGTTTTGTAAACACCGTAAAGGGTATTTTAGCTAGATAAACGGTTAAAAGGTTGCAATTGAATTCGTATTGGCATTGTTTAGTGTTAAATTTTGTAAACATTCCTTGACTGCCCAAAGCTGTTGTTTACAGATTCAGCAAGAGTTTGTTGAACTTTGAGAAACTACAACATTTAAAAAAATCCATGTAATTATTTTATTTTTACAGTTACAGTATTGTTTAAGTGGTTGTTTTAAAAATGTGTAACAAACTGTTTTTAACAAGACTTTTTGACATTCTGTTTTGTAAACAACCTTATGAACATTTTAGCTGGAAATTACTTTAAAAGGGCTTTAATTAGTGTTAAAATTTGTAAACAACGTTCCATGACTGCTCAAAAGCTGTTGTTTACAGATTAAGCAAAACTTTATTGAACTTGTTAAAATACAAAATCAAAAAGCATCCATGTAATTATTTTATTATTACGGTATTAGTTAAGTTGTAATAGTAATGACTTTTATTGGATTTAAAACTAATGAATACTAAATATGTAGTTCAATAGAATTTTAATGTCTTAACTCACTAGTATTAAAGTGGTTGTTTTAAAAATGTGTAAACAACTGATTTTAACAAGACCTTTTGACTTGTGTCAATCTTAAATTCCAGTGAATTAAAAATGGCCCTAGATGAATATGACAAACTCATCATGTTTTAGGATATATTATGCCACGAAATATTAAAGATAAGTATGATAACAATGGCTCCACCAGACGTACTCACTCATACATGTCAGCTGAAGACCAGGCATCTGGCAAAAAATCTTACTGGACTGAGTTGGAGATAACAGGGACTATTCGCAATTTAAGCCCAAACCTGTTCCAAATGACGCAACTCACTGCTCTGTATCTAAAGAACAACTGTCTTCATAGACTGCCACCCGATATATGTCAGTTGGTCAATTTAAGAAACTTAGATTTGTCCTACAATAAGCTGCGTTCACTGCCTGCTGAACTTGGAGAACTTATTCATCTCAGGTATGAACTTTTATGGGTTTTACTTCATTGTATACATGAAAGTTAACTAAAAATATTTGCCTTTTTACTAATTTAAAATTTAATAAAAGATAATCTTACTTCTACAAGCAGATTTTCTCCAATCCATTTAAAGTTAAATCTATCAGTTATTTTTTATTTTATTATATATTGGAGAACTATTTGGATCTTTATATTTCTTGCTATAATTAATCTACTATTTTTGTGTTATTATTTTTAAGGTAATAAGTATAATAAATCCATACAAATGTTAAATCTTGATAAAAATATAGCAAAATTAAATCCACTTTAATTAATAAACATTTTGGTTATGGTAAAAATTTATAATTTAAAAATTTAAACAAAATTAAAATAAACATTACAAATTATTGTTTAAGGTTTTTAAAATCATTTAACTATGCCTGTTTAATGCCAGTTATCCAAGAAATATCCCACAAGAGTTCCCGATTTTTATCCCATTTCCATTACCTATCCTTTTTGAATTCCCTGAAAGTAATGTAAGTTTTGATTTGGAATTAAAAAGTTATATTTACAGTACTGATTATTCCATTAATTTATGTATGGGGTATGTAATCTCTTAATAAAAGTAAAACCTTATCAACAAAAAATCTTGAATTACAAAACCAAAAATAATTTTATACTTGTTGCTTACCCCTGTTAGTTTATGAAAATATTTCGAATATTTTTATCTTTGGTTTTATAATTTGAATTGTTGATAAGTAAATTTATTAAGAGATTACATCCCACAAATGTATCATTATTCTTGTAGACAAACAGTCAAAAAATTGCAATAACAATAAAATTATTGTTTACTGTTAATATGAACCATTTTTAATCAGATATTTTTCGAATATATTATTTTTTAGGTAGCAAAATGCACAATGTGAATAGTTTAGATAATAAAACTAACTAAATACATATTAAATAAACAATAATTGTTTAATTAATATTAATTAATAAAAATATTTACTGCACTGGTTGCAACATAAAGTAAATATGCAATATATCAGTACTGATAAATAAAAATGACAATTAGTGTTATTGTATTTGAATAAGGTGTTTGTGTTTAATATTTTAGGGAATTGCAACTATGCCATAATTTTCTGAGAATATTGCCATATGAGCTTGGTAAACTATTTAATTTGATGGTTCTTGGTTTGGCAGGAAACCCCCTCAACAAAGACATAATGAACATATACTCAGAACCCAATGGAACACAGAGACTGTTGACATACATGTTGGACAATTTACAAGGTAAGAAACAATTTACTAGTATTGCTTAACCCCTACACAATGTTATATATGCAACTTGTTGTTCATTGTTTATTAATGGTTTTGCAACTTAAAGTAACCTAATTTAATTTTGTGAACCAATGTTGTTTATTTGATTTTGTTTTATTGTTCATTTATTTATTTTAAACTAGGTCTGCGAATCAAAACCGATTTTAAGGGTTTTTGTTTAACCACAGTTTTGAGTCAAATTTTGGCCAAGTTTAACAACTGATTATTTGGTAAGGTGGTTGGTTAATCAATTTTAAAACAAAACAAAATGAACATGACAGCGACTCTATAAAGGCAAAACGTCAAATTTAAGTAAAATCCAACAAAGATTTTGTTTTCTTCTTGCTAGTGTTAAAATGGTTACCTTATTTTATATCATTTTTTATTATTTTACAATGCATATGCATGCAATTTTTAAATAATCAAAAAATGTCAATATGACAAAAATTTATGAATAAAAAGGAAGAAATTATATGTTTAGGTGAGGTTTTAGTTTTATTTTGGATTTGTATTAGAAATATTCTATTGTAGTTTTTTAATTAACTTGTCAAGCTTTCGATTTTTGACTTTAGTCAACGCAAATAAATACTTAAATAATTCAATCCTATGTTATCCGTTTTGGTTATCCAAATTAACCGATCGAGCGGTTTCTAATAATTATTCGGTTAATCGATTTTACCAAATCCGATTTTAGAACCCAATTAATCTATTTTGCTTTTTACTGTTTTTCCTAAGCATTAGGGGTTTAACTAATATTATAAATAATTGATAGCATATAATTAAAACGCAAATTCTTTTAGGAGTATTTTTTTTTAAATAAGTAGTTATTATCGTAAAAATTATATTTTTAAATACCTATTTTTAACTTAAAATGTTAACAACAAACAAATATGTATTCAATGCATTTTTAAAATGGTGTGGTAGACTACCTACTATGTTTTTATTTTATTAAGGTTATTTAAGATATTGTGATACTACTAAAAATATACAGGGTTACTAAAATTGTGAAATACAGGGTGTCCCAGAATATGTGGCCAATCTCCCGGATTTAGATAGAACACATACAAATAATATGACAAGTTCCTATACATTTTATTTCCTATGGCCCCACCTATGGAGATACGGCCCCCTGGATTAAAGAAAAAAGATCGAAAATTTCAAAACACTCTATTTTAACGGACACTGACATTATTATTTAAACCGGTAAATGTCAAAAAACCAACAAAAAAGATAAAAACAAATTCAAAAAACCCTATTGTACAAAAACATTTTTTTTTTCGTAAATAGTACATTTTATCGATGTCGATCAAGATTAACTTTTTTAGTTTAAGCTGACTAAAAATATTATTGTTGTGCCTTTATAGTACAGGGTGTTAAAAAAAATAGCATTACTCTGTTGGAGCTAGTCTGTCACTGCAAACTAAATAAGCCAAATGTGATTGAAAGTGCCCATTTTAAGGAAATCAATATAATAAAAAATTATTAAATTCCACCTAGTAGTTCAAAAGTTATTTAAAAACAAACGATTTCCGTAAAGGGGGCCGTAGGAAAAAAAATTATAGGAACATATTATTTTTATGTGTTCTATTTGAATCCTGGAGGTTGCCCACATATTCTGGGACACCCTGTATACATCTGACAACAAAAAATTAATTGGTTTATTTAACCAGTCTATTGCGTTTTATGGTAGACCTACACGTTTTTGAAAACCCTGTGAAGTAAACAAATTAGGGAGTCTGATTGCTTTATGTAATGCAAAAAAATTTTCGCCGGAAAAATGATAATTTTTTCTAAAAAACAAATATAGATAGATATGTATATGTATACTAGGGTTATGAACGTAAGAACTTTTTTTATCAAAAATTAAATTTCCTACAACTTTTTTATTTGAACTTTTTCGGTAAAACCAGTCATTCGCTCTATTTTCTCAAAAATATGTGAGAAAAAGTGAAAAAACGACTTTTGGTGCTACTACAATCAACGTAAATAAATCAAAAACAAAATTGATGCAGGGCCTTTCAAAAACCATGAATACTATGCAGGAAATTATGGTGATAAAAATTATAATTCAAAACCCAGCCAAAATATAGAAATTTAAAGTAAAAATGATTAAAAATACATGCTTTTTATATGGAAAAACTACAAAATTAAAAAGGAAATACTTAGAATAAACGTTAAGGGCTAAATTTTCAGGGAATTTTTTTTTCAACCTAAAAACAAAATTTTCATGTGTCAGCAAGAAAAAAAAATTGTCGTTTTAAATGAAACACCCTAATGTATATGCAAAAATAATATATTATTTTTTTTACTAACTGTATTTATAATACCTATTCATACGAAGAGTGTTATTATGTTACTACAAAAACAAAAATATTTGTATCAAGAAATGTTTTTTTAATAATGAAGTATTTTTGGTATTATGTGATCACTTTTTATTTCAAAAATTAAATGAAACAACATTTATTTAGCATAATACAAAATTAGCCATAAGACAGAATTTTTATTGAAATAGAAAAATTACTTTTGCCCAGTCATAATTAAATTTAACTGTTATAATTAAAATATTGAATTAAAATAAATCAATTTCATTTATTAGAAAGATAATTATAATTAAAGAGGGCAAAATAAAATAAACGATGTCATAATAAATTAGGAACTTTAAAGGAGACTGTGAATTTAAAAAATGTTTTTTAGCAGAATTGAATTGGAATAAAGGACATTTAAATGTAAATCTTTTAAAGTTTATGATTTATTATGTATTACAGCGGTTAAACCGCTCGTTATAAAGGCGGTTTTATACAATCATGAAGCTTATGCAACTAGCGTCACTACTACTTGTGTACCTGCTTGCATAAGACTTGGCACCTACACACAACTTTATTTACATTATACCTTACGTACAAAAACAAATAACAATTTATGTAAGATTTGTTTTTAAGTATCCAACAATGTTTAAATAAAAGCCTTTTGCTGAGAGCTTTAGTTAAAAAGGATTCCTTTCTAATATACAAAGTTTTGCCCTTTTCAAAGTAATTAAATTTAAACATTAAAATTTAATTTAATAATTGAAACTAAAAAAATAGTTAATATAATATACAAATTATGCTTTTATTAATTCTTGTTGCTTAATTATTTTTCCCACGTTATTTTCTGGTGTTTCTAATAATTAACTCTATTTTCATCGTTCTGTTTTGATCGGAAACCGATATCATAAATAAACATAAGCACTTATTCATAGGAGAAAGTGCACGCAGCAAATAATACCAGACAAGATATTCTTCAAGATATTTTGCTCCTTTGAAGCACTTTTTTGTTCTTAATAACCACTTTTAAACTATTGTGGGTTCCTATCTTCTTTTTATGGTTTATAGGCTATAAATTATAGCCCATTTTAAACCACTTCTTAATGATATTGTTAGCCTTTGAAGAAATTTTGATTATGAAGTTCGTTCCAAAATATGAACACATTTAAAGCATCTGGGACTCTTTCAAAGAAATTAAAAAATGTTCTTAACAATTGGTAAAACACCTGTGTTCATCATATATTTATTGAAATAAAACAGCACTAACTGATGTGCAAAATTAAAGCATCACTTTTTCAAAGATCTATAAATTTTGAATGTAGTCCAGAAAGTTCTCTTTTTGATATTTGTATCCTAAATTTTGATTAACAAGTCGTCAACATGGGTGCAGTAGTTTTAGAAATACGCCCTTAAAACTAGCACCATTTCAAAAAATGTATAATGTTCCAAAACCGTTCAAAAATTATTGTTCTTGTCCACTTCAATTGAGGAGCATCCGTGCAAAACCGGCTATATCCACTTAAATAAAATGTTGGGAAAATAGCAAAAACTATCGGTTTCCTGGCCTTTACAGATAAAAGAAAAAGCAAACTTGAGTTTTGTGGGCTTTGTGGTACTTGATTTATAAGACATACTTTCGTTTTCAAAAACTTTATATTAAGGCCAAAATTTCAAAAAATGTTTTGGATATAGCCGGTTTTGCTCGAAAACCGAATAAATAATGAATAAAATGTTAATAAAAAACCTTTATTATTCAAAAAATAAATATAGTGCAAACATGAAAAAACAGAACAAATTTTAGTAGTAGTATCGACATATCCAAGCCACATATTATTATTTATTGGATATAGCCGGGTTTGCTATAAAAAACGTGGATTTGGCCGGTTTTGCTCCTAAAGCTACCTTTTAAATGTGATTTTAACATGGATTTAGTCGGATTTAAACTGAATTATCTTGGTTGTCGATAGAAATGAACCCAAAGATGCGAAATCAAAAAAAAAACAAAAACTGAATAAAATGGATTTAGCCGGTTTTGCACGAATGCTCCTCAATTCTGGTCACAACATTTTTACATGTTAGAGAAGGGGGGTCCATTCCTTTTTTACATCCATAGACAAAGACTCGTAAAAGAAGTAAACATTGCTTTTCACTGTGGTTCCTTTGGCAGGGAGGTTCACTAACATCGCCTTCAAAAGATTTAACCCATCAGACCACATATGTGCACATGGCAAAAATATACGCGTGTCAACTACCAAAATCGTAGTATTGGTTGCCTATAATTCAGGCGTTTAGCTAGACCCATACAACTTACGATTTACGATTTTTGTAGAGTTTACTTGGTGGGTTTATGGAGGATACTAAAGTGTATTCTTTACCATAGTATGGACATCTTTTCAACACGCGTATACCTTTGCCAGAGCTGGGTATTTTGAATAGTTTAGCTAAAGAGCTTTACAAGTTTCAAGGCGATGTTAGTAGAGATGTTAAAAAACGGTTTTTCAGATGTGAAAAAAACTTGGAAAAAAACGTTTTTTTTTTTGTTTTTTTTTTCAAATCCGCTACAATAAAGCATATTCTGTCAATAAATAACATTAGTCTTAAAAAATTGAGTAATTTTCATCAAAAATAAATTTTGAGTAAAATTTATATTAACAATAAAGTGAATTTTAGAATATATTAAACTTTTCTTTATTAAATATTTTGACCAAGACTAAAAAAACAAAAAAAAAACTAGAAAAAAACGTTTTTTTTTTTTGTTTTTTTTTTCAAATCCGCTACAATAAAGCATATTCTGTCAATAAATAACATTAATCTTAAAAAATGGAGTAATTTTCATCAAAAAGAAATTTTGAGTAAACTTTATATTAATAATAAAGTGAATTGTAGAATATATTAAATATTTCTTTATTGAAAATTTTGACCGAGACTAAAAAATCTGATTTCTTATTATTTGGTAGTTTCCACATAAGAAACCAATAGCAATGTAAAACTTCTACGCTAATAGAAAAAGTTAAAGGATAAAAAAAATTCCAAATTTTTTGCTATTTTTCGGATAGCTGTATCTTCGTTAAAAAAAATTAGATACTCTACATGAATTTGAAAAAACATGAAAAAAATGCTTTTGGTTGGTTTTTGAAAAATCAAGCGCTGAATCAAAAATATTATGGGTAGTTACTTTTTTTAGGACCAAAACAAAACAAGCGCGGCCCTTATTGGTCAATTCGGTGGTGATGGCGCGTGCATAGCGCGAAACTGTACTTTACATTTACTAAATGTCATTTAGTGGCTAATTTTAGTCCATGAACTGGACTGGAAACATAAAAAATTAGGCAAATGGGACTAATCTTGGAAAAAAACCTCAAATATGAAAAAAACCATTTGAAAAAAAAACAATGAAAAAAACCTGAAAAAAAAAACAAAAAAAAAACGGACCGAAGTCGCATCTCTAGATGTTAGTAAACCTTTCTTTTACGGGCCTGTCTCTGGATGTTAAAGAGGGAATGATTGAGCCTGGAGGTAGTAGAAAGTAGGTTACTTATATGTATACAGAAAATGTTCTGATAAATCCTCCTACACCAAAATGTAAAAAAATTTATAAAAAAGAATTCCAAATAAATTTAAAAAAAATCTAAATGGTCACTGCGGTCAGGTCACCTGACTCAGGTGCAGCAGGTACTCCAGAAGCATAAGTGTATTCCTGGGACCAAGAGGAAAACTCGTGATTGTAAAACACTATAAAAGACATGGAAAATGTTGGCAGACCTTTCTGATACATTTTTAAGCAGTTTTAGAGCATAAGAGTTATCTGTGTATATGTTACGGCTAATGTGCAAACTTGAATAGTTTATAAACTAGCCAAACTGTCAGCTATTTTAATTGAAAATGTATTTTCAACTAAATTAGCGGCTAGTTTACAAAATAACCAAGGATCTTCGCTAATTTACTTGAAATTATTAGGGAAACTAAAATAGCTGGATAGTTTGTATACTATCCAATTCAATTTGGCCAATATGAAAACCAAAATTTCTAGTAACACAAAATAGCCAAGCTTTAGCTAGTTTGTAAACTAACCAACTAATTCTCTGGCTATTGCCCATTTTAGTTGGGTTTTTGGGGCGGGGTCGGTTGTGTTGTTGAGTTTTCTAACAAGGAAGCGTTAAAATTTTGCCTATGATTCATTTTAAAAACTTTAAAATGCTCAAAACAAATCCGGTTAAGCCGGCAAAACGAAAAACAATGCCGTAACCTCACTTTTTTAATAAATTAGCCAGAGAATTGGTTGGTTAGTTTACAAACTAGCTAAAGCTTGGCTATTTTGTGTTACTAGAAATTTTGGTTTTCATATTAGCCAAACTGAATTGGATAGTATATAAACTATCCAGCTATTTTAGTTTCCCTAATAATTTCAAGTAAATTAGCCAAGATCCTTGGTTATTTTGTAAACTAGCCGCTAATTTAATTGAAAATATGTTTTCAATTAAAATAGCTGACAGTTTGGCTAGTTTATAAACTATCCAGCTAGTTTATAAACTATCCAAGTTTGCACATTAGCCATAACATATATACAAAAATCTTCGTATTTCTGAAACTACTGAACCCACGCTGACTTGGAAACTTTTTAAGCAAACTTTAGGCTACAAAATATCCAGGGAGGAGAACTTTCAACACAATTTTATTCTTATTTTATAGATCTTTGAAAAAGTGGTGCTTTAATTTTGCACCAGTTTATATTCGTCAATAATGAAAAAATCTACAAAAAGTTATAATGTTATAATTGTAAATTACAATTTGTAACGTACCTATTGACTAGTAATTTAAAAATGTGTTATAAACACATTCCAACATCTGTTTTCAGGTTATGTATAAATAACTCCTTAAAGAAATTGAATTGTTAAAAAATTTGAAGCATAATTTAAAAAACATTATACTGAAATACGCTGTTTGTGGTTTTATAACAATTAAAAAGGTTTAAACTGTCAACGAAATTCGTTATGTTTGTGTTTTTAGAAAGACATTTTTTACCTTAAAAGACTAAAATTTTTCTTTTGCAAAATCTATCATCTCTCTTATTACACAGTACGACAAAATTTGATTTTTTTACCTCCCATGAAAAATTCCTACAAATTTTTCAGATCACGTCATTTTTATTAAGGGCGTTCCAATAAAATGTTAACCACGGCATTCGGCACATAATATAACAGCTTCGATAACAGCTAGACTGCATAGTTTTTTAAAAATTGTATTCACTGAATAAATGGACAACCATTAAAGCTTTAATTTATTTTTTTTAAATTTTATACAGGGTGTTGCACATTTACGAAATATATCAAGTGGTGTTTTTTAGGTTTTGATACCACTGTATATTCTAAAGCAATGTAAAATCTTCAAACTAGAAGACCAAACTTTTTTCCGACATACAGTGTTACCTATTTATTGTGCGATTTTAACCGGATTTCTTTTTAAGTGTAGATCTTGATAAACTTTATTTTTGGAGCCATATTTTTACAAAATACAAGGCCTACTATGTCAGTTTTTAAGAGTAAATTTTTAAGAATTCAAATTAGGGATTTTTTTAAACAAAATCTAAGCACGGCACTGGATTCACCACCCCTCAAAACGACCCCGTAATAAATTATATTGAAAAATTTTAAGTAGAAAAATGCACAATAATAACTACAAAAATTTATTGTTAGTTTATGGATAAATCCATGACAAAAACATTGAAATAAAATTACTAATAGTAACATGGCCTTGTATTTTGTAAAAATATGGCGTTTTTGCTCCAAAAATACAGTTTATCAAGATCTACACTTAAAAACAAATCCGGTTAAAATCGCACAATAAATAACGATTTTACAGGCGTGAGTCGCAAACAAATGGGTCACACTGTAGGTAGGTATATTGAATGTAAAATAAATTCAATTAAAAAATTAAAAATATAAATTATTTTTTTTTATTTAAAAAAAAATTAAAATTATTTTTTTTTAAGTATAATTTTTGTATCATGTAAAATAATACAATATTTGAAAAACAATTATTAATACCAAAATAGAGAATTAAAAAACTGTATAGGATAAAATAATAAGATATATGTAACATATAAAATGTTGTATAAGAAATTTAAATGACGGGATTTTGGGAAACGATGAGCCACGTGTAAAACAATTATTAATACCAAAATAGAGAATTAAAAAACTGTATAGGATAAAATAATAAGATATATGTAACATATAAAATGTTGTATAAGAAATTTAAATGACGGGATTTTGGGAAACGATGAGCCACGTGTACGTTTTTAACCTTTATTTTCAAAGTCTGTTAAAATTTTTGATGAGAGGGAAATCTTGTTGAACTGTGTTATACAATTGCCAATTATTACAACTCTCTCTCACTTACTTCTCGTTCTTGAAATATATTCTTGTAATATTCACTTGTAAAGTCTTAAATATGTGTGCATGTTTACTTCCAACTAATTGCGATCTAATATGATGATTATCGTTTGAAACCATAAATTATTCTCCAAAAAAGGATTTGCAACCAGGAACAAAGAAGACAATGAGTCACGTTTCCACTTATTTATTTATTTATAATTTTTCGATTTGCTTTCACTAACTTGGACAATTGTTGCATTTGTGGAAGAAGAGAAAGCTGAAAAAATACTCGCCAACATAAAGGCCAAACTAAACTATACGCTTTTCTAGAGAATAGGTCAATACGTACCGATATAGACATACGTTTTTAATAATACAGATAATAGATTATTTTTTATCCTAAATGGATTGATCTTATCTTTGGAAATCTGACAGCAATAGTCTATTTTTATTCGAATAAAGCATCGAAGAGGCATTTGGAAAATCTAACGTTGATTTTGCCATTTCGTGATTTCCTGGAGCTTGGTAATTGCATTTTCAAATACGGCGACTAGCGCTCTTACGAAATCGAAAAGCATTTCTAACGTCTTGCTCAATTGGCATTAGAGTGGAAATTATCAAAAGGCACATTTGATCTCACGCTAACATAAACAATAATTCTTAAATTAAAATTAAACACTTGTGGAATATTTAATTTTGTGATGGTTTATTTTGGAAAGGAAAATGTCCTAGATATAATCCCGTGTAGTCTTAACAACTTTATTAATTTTTTACTCGTAAACCAGACGGTCAATCCATCTAAAACTTTGTTAATTCTTTTAAGTAGACTGTATTACAACCTAGAATGTTTTCAACATTTTCTCATAGCGACTAATATCGTGCCCAACAACTTTTTCATGAAAAATAAATAAATTCAGTAGT